GCACAGCACCGTGATTAACAGGAGGATGGCAGCAAGGGAAGCGAAGAAACAGATGCTGCCAACCTGACAGCTTGGCATGCAGCAAGCCCGGAAGGAAAGAACAGAATGAGAGCAACACCAAGTTTAAGCAGACAGAGCCTGGCCGCTGTCCAAATCCCAGGAGGGGCATGCACCTGTGAGACCCACAGACCCTCACCAGAGCCAGCGCTGTGCTTGGATAACCAGGGCTGCAAAGGCAATGAGTGGAAAATCTGTGTTTTCAGAAATCTACAATTAAACTAGGAGGTGCAGGACAACATGGAATCCCCTTCAGTGGGATTTGATCCTGAGAACACTGAGGAACAGGGACGTCACTGAGGAAGTAGGAGCCACAGGAGGGGACACAGTGACGGGAGTGGACGGGAAACACTGCCTCCAGCACGCACCGTGAACCAGAAGAGACTCCAGGTGCTGCTGTCGTCCACATCTGTGCAGCCACCTCCACAGACTTGGGAGCACATCTTAGAATGTAAGAGAGAAGATCAGAGGGCAGCCCGGGCAGCAGGGTTCTGTCAAGAGGCCGGGGGCTCCTCCAGCAGTTACTCTCGGAGGGTCTGACGCCTGGGAAGCAGGGTCCAGGGCTAGACCTCAAGCAGAGGCTTGGAAAGGCTGTCACGGGCTCTCTGTCCTCTCAGGTTATGCCCTGGACACACGCATCTGAATACTCATGAGATATTCAGTTAAATGTAAAACAAAATTAAACAAAATGGTGAAAAGTGACTTTATTGGCTTGCTGGTTCGAGTAAGAATGAATTAGAATGGATACACGTAGGTATAATACGTGTTCTCACACAGCAGTGACCCACTGGCAAGAACTGCTGGTGGCTTTAAACCAACAGGGATGATCTTCTCCACATTCCCTAACACTGTCCCCGGTTTCCATCCCAGAGTCCTCTCTCCAGGAACAAGCTCCCTGCCCTCTGCGTCCCCACGGAGGACCCTCACCACTCTGAATCACGTGGCCTTTCCCTCCCAGAGGTGGGAGACACACAACAGCCGTCTGGCATGTGTGAGAGGTTTTCTAGGTGTCCCAAGAGAACTTCCATTTTCTAACTGCACCAAGACTCACATTAACTTAAATACTTGCATTAGAAACAACTCAATTGTCATGTAAACATAAAGTGTAATTTGAACATTTCAAACCACTATATTAAACTTATACTTAAATCTGGTTTATGAATGAAACCTGAGTCATTTATTATTCTGTCCCCCTTTTTGATAACAGCTCAGGTTATCTCCAGGTAATTCAAGGATATTAAACAAACCTTGAGCAGCTCTATGACATTTTATTAGAATCCAACATGATGCTCCAATAATGGCTACATCAGATGTCACCTACTGACAGTGCAGAGCCCTACACGTGGTGCCCGGCCCTCCTCAGCTCATCGGCTGGCACTAAGGGCTATGGCCCTCTGATTCGCCTTGCTATGTTCTCTGCCCACTCCCTGTGTGTGTCAGGAAGGAACAGGTGTTTGGCTAACATCACACAAGGTGGGTCTTACTCAGGGACCTGAGCAGCAGCACCGGGCTCACTGACACACAGGGCATGGCCTGAAGGCCTCAGTGAGAGGACTCTAGGTCTTTGTTCTTTTACTTTTTCTGATTCACAAAAGGAAGGGCACCACTGAGTGCAACCCCATAGCTCATGTCAAGTTCATTCCTTCCCTGTTGCTCAGCACAGTCAGGCACTGCCTCCTCCCGGCCCCACTAGGCCTCAGGTGCTGGCTCTGACACCTGCCCTGGATCTTCTCCAAACCTCCTCCTTAAAAGCCTCAGGCTCTGCACTGGACTTTGGAGGACCTGGGCAGAGCTTCCCTCACCCCCATCAGTTGTCCTTCCTGCAACTAAATTCAGTCTTGGCTCTTGTATATGAACTTGACTGTTTTTTCAGCAAGATCAGAATAAATCCAAGATGATACGTTTAAAACAAAAACAAAACAACCAAAACAACCATCCTGTTGGTCATGGAACTTCATTGTGAGTCATCTTGGTAAGAAAAGCTCCATGATGGCACTCATGATGGCAGCACTTTCTCTTACTTCTAAATTTTTCTCATCTTTCTATGTAAAATGATTAAACTGATGCAAGCGATACCCTAAGAAGAGCTAAGCGGTCATGAAATCCAATCAACGTATACCCTCCATGCTGAGAAACACGCTCGTTCAAGCATGCCAGGAAACTCAACAGTTCTGACATTGATAACAATAAGCTAAGTATACATAATGTCTGCAAAATCACTTTTTTGTTAGAAAAGGATTGTACTGCCTATAATAACTAACATTCATGCATGTATCAATACATAAAATTAAAGATTTTAATCAACCAACTTCAATCCACTTAAAATCAGCTTTGCACGGTAACAAAACTCATATGTTTCATGCTTCATTTTGTCCTTTTGAGGCTGCAAAGCCTAAAAATCTGCAAACACACTTAGGAATGCAACTGAAATTTATATTCATTTAACTACTCACTAAAGATAATTAAATTCTCATCTCATGTTTTGATCTGAGACTAAGAAACCCATTATTCTATACGCAAGGGAAAAAAAAGCACCATTTATCACCAAAATGTCTCATTCTTCCCTGGTAGTGTAGCAAGTTTTTTTTCTGATTTTCCATTTGATACCAACTTTCCCCCAGTTACAAACATTTTCATTTGATTTAAGTCGGAAGTTGCTTATCGGGGACTGTCATATATTTTAGGATTGTGCTTTAAATCATTACCGGGAGATTTACTTTTAGTATAATGAGATAGCTTTGCATATTAATTAGATCATCAGACACACACGTGCCAAGGGTTAACAGTTGTGTAATAAATGCGATATGGCAGTGACAGAGCTGTTGAAGTTAGGCATACAGTTTTTCCATACATTTCACTGAATTATCCAAGAAATAACCACCCTGGTAAATCCCAGTAAAACACCTGATGGTCTATTAGGATGTTTAATTAAAAATGAAGCTACGATGTATGCATGGATGACTTTATACAGTGGTGGGGAGAGAAGCCCATGGAAAATCAGCTTCACTCGGTGAAAAGCACCCACAACCCCTCTGTGCAGGTAGCTAAAGGTTTCTGCCTTTCCCACGAAGAAACAGACACTTCTTAGTGGGCAGATGCCACGCACATGCTGGGGATCTCACAGGTCATTCTCAGCGGCCCCACTGTGAGGCTCAGCACACGGCTCCCGGGCTGGGAGTAGTCTGATCTCCACAGCAGCAGATAGCAGCCAACTCGAGCAGGGCAGGTTGAAGCCAGGCCTTCCCTTGTGCCGATGCATCCCTAACATGGGAGAGGGAGACTGCTGCAGCCTTCACTGCAGAGGAGGCTGGAGGTACATGTCAGCCAAATTGGGAGGAATAAAGCGCACAGGTAGGATAAGGGGCGGCGCGGTGAGTGTCAGCAGACAGCACAGCACAGGCGACTATGGGAAGCAGGAGGGAAGGGAAGGACATGGGGCAGGAGGTTGGCATTACTGGCTCAGGGATCACTGGTGTGGACCTACAAGGAAGCACACTATCATGTCTTCTCTTCCCCGGCTCTAAGTATTGCCTTGTTCTAGGAAAGAACAGAGCTAGTGGATGCTGAAGGTCTCCTTAAACGAACAAGCTAAAGTTCCAGTGCACAAATGCAGACACACCACTTGTTCCCTCGCTCACCAAATCCCCATGGAACACCTGCTGGGGTACCGAGGTGGGCAGGATATATCCATATCCACATGAGGCCTGAGCTCTGTGTCTGGCATGGGAACAAGGTGGGCAGGCGAAGGCACAGCACAAAGAAGCTGGGTGAACGAGCCGGGGGCACATCCTCCAGCCCTCATTACCATGTTTGGGGCTGCACTTTGGTACAGCGGGTTAAGCTATCACCTGTGACACCAGCATCACATCCACATTCTGGTTCAAGTCTCGGCCACTCCACTTTCAATCCAGCTCCCTGCTAATGCACCTGGGAGGGCAGTGGAAGATGGCCCACGTGCACTGCACTCTGCCAGGCACGTGGGACACTCAGAAGGAGTTCCTGACTCCTGACTTCAGCTTGGTCAACTGTGGTCATATGTGAAGTTAATTAACAAATGAAAAATCTCTCGCTCTTTTTCTTTCTCTCTGTGATTGTTGCTGTTTCTACTTTTCTTTCTTTCCATCAACAAGATAATTTTTTTTATAAAACAACTAGTCAGAAGCTGATGGTCTATGGTTTCACGATAAGAGATAGCAGGACCATTACGTTAGATGTGCTTGATGAGAGATTTTTCATTGTTAGTTAACTTCACAAATGACCACAGTGGACCAAGCTGAAGTCAGGAGCCAGGAACTCCTTCTGAGTGTCCCACGTGCCTGGCAGAGTGCAGTGCACGTGGGCCATCTTCCACTGCCCTCCCAGGTGCATTGTAATGCACAATTACAAAAAACAAACTTGTGTTTTTAACACATTAGCAAATTCTAGATAATTCACATGCACAGAATATTTGGGGGACTGCTGATCTGGAAATGAACCCCCATGTACTGACAGTCACTGTGTGCTTCCTAACCCCATGAAGCTGAGGCGGCAGTGAGGCGACCCCTCTCTGAGCACCCCTCTCTCTGCGTGGCGAGGCCTGTCTCTGTGGAGCTGCCCGATGCCCTGACCCAGCCATGTCTATGGGAAGCAGACAGTTCTGCTGGAGGAGTCTCCTGAATGGTGTCCTAGGATTCAAGCTGGTAGGACCTTGATCTCCCTGCTTTAACACAGTCATCAGTTCCAGTAAAAACAGGTTCCCAGTGAGTAAGATGTCACAAAAACCCTGGGCAACACCAGGACCCGCTGCGCCTGGTTATAAAGGGCACAATCTCTTTAAGGTAACCACACCCAGTCGCCCCGTTCCCTCCGCCTCCTCATCAACAGCCCTAGATCCCAAGTGCCGAAAAGCCATTTTCTCGAGGATTACTACGCACTCCCCCAGGGGAAGAGCAAGGGTCACTCACCCGTTTCACAGTGGGGTCCGGTGAAGCCCTGGGGACAGGCACACACGTTAGCTGCAATGCAGGCGCCTCCATTTCTACAGCCATCTTTACAAAATGCTGAAACAATCCAGACACCTGACTTGAGTACTCTGAGAGTTAGTTGCTTGGTAAATTCCCAACCTAGTTTTTCTCTCTATGCCTTTGGATATACAGACATCAGATAATAAAAGCTACTACAATTTCATATCAAATATCGCCATAACTAAAAAAATTTCTACGTAACTTGCTAAAGACTAAACTTTCCAACATTAAACTTACCTTCACTTGCAAAACAGACTAAGTAAAGTTTTTTGAACACCATGTACACCTGTCACAATGGGACTCCTATTTAAGGTGATATGGTACCTCATTTGAAGGACCAATGCTGGGGGAATTCTGACAGATGATAGACGCCTGGATGGCATGGTAGGGATGGGCAGTCACCCCCCAGAGAACAGAGCAGCACAAGAAGTGCCTGAACCCTGGGGCTCTGGCCAGAGAGCTGGAATTCTGCAGGCCATGCCCTCTGCAGACCTGGCACTGCATCATCCAGGAAGGGAATTGCTGCATGGTTGCCATGGAGCCTTGTGCTGCTCTGCCAGGACAGGACAGCTCCAGGATGAGGCAAAGTTACAACAGCGCCAGTGGTTCTGCAGAAAGACTGGGAGCACAGAACTAGGAACCAAGGATGATGTGGGGGCTGGAGGGAAGAAAACAGGATGAGTAACACAGCCCCTTGCTCCCCTTCAGCCCAGCAGGTTTGGGTCCACTGTGGGCACCCAGTGCGTAGCGAGTGAGCCTGGCCAGCTTGCTCAGGCCCTGGCCAGGGACTTCTTCCAGGTGTCCAGGATGCAGGCTCTCAGAGTTGGGGAATGCCAAAGTGTGAGACCCACATGTTTAGCTAAAACCATGGAAGTGCTAAGACCAAAAAGGTCCCGTGGCTTTGCCAGTCTGTCTCTACTGTGGCTGTACCCGAGGTAGGGCGAACTCCAGTCAATGTGGATCTGCATGCATGTGTGGGCCTCACATGCAAGGAAGGGCAGATGCCTGGTCACCTGCTGGGCTTCCTGGAGCCACCTGTGAGATCGCAGCCTGTCAATCAGCCTGAGCTTGGTGAGTGACAGCCTTCTGAACTTCTGCCCCTGCAGCTTCCGTCCATTCCCAGCTGAGACACACAGGGGCACTAGGAGGGCCGTCTGCCCTCGGATTCAAGAATCACCTACACTCAGGCCCGGCGTGGTAGCGCAAGTGGTTAGGGTCCTCGCCTTGCATGCCCAGGATCCCATATGGGTGCTGGTTCTAGTCCTGGCAGCCCCACTTCCCTTCCAGCCCCTGCCTGTGGCCTGGGAAAGCAGTCGAGGACAGCCCAAAGCTTTGGGACCCTGCACCCGCGTGGGAGACCCAGAAGAGGCTCCTGGCTTCAGATTGGCATAGCATCGGGACGGAAGATCTTCCTCTCTGTCACTCCTCTCTGTATATCCACCTTTCCAATAATAAAAAAAAAAAAATTAAAAAAAAAAAAGAATCACCTACACTCATGCTCGTGATGCCAAGTCTGTGGCCACAAACTTTACTCTTAATGTGATGCAAGATGCTGAAACAAAAGAGGGAAGCTGTAGGGTCCCTGGTTGGAATCTTTTTTTTTTAAGGTTTATTTTTTTATTTATTTTTATTGGAAAGGCGGATATACAGAGAGCAGAGACAGAGAGGAAGATCTTCCGTCCAATGATTCACTTCCCAAGTAAGTGCAACGGCCGATGCTATGCTGATCCAAAGCCAGGACCCTCTTCCGGGTCTCCCAGGTGGGTGCAGGGTTCCAAAGCCTTGGGCCGTCCCGGGCCACAGACAGGGAGCTGGATGGGAAGCAGGGCCGCTGGGATTAGAACCGGCGCCCATATGGGATCCCGGGCGTGCAAGGCGAGGACCTTAACCACTGCGCCATTGCGCCGGGCCCCCCTGGTTGGAATCTTAAGGCCAAACGAACAGGGCACCCAGATGCTTTGGGAAGTGAAGGAGTTTAATTATAGGCACTAGAGACTCAAATGTCAGGCTCCTCTCAGAATCTGTAGAGCAAACACAAACCTCTGGAATCTGTCCCTCTGCCTGACAGTGTGCACTGACAAGATCTGCAGAGCATGGAGGACCAGCATGCGCCGGCTCAGGGCCAATGGGTTGTCTTCACAGACCAGGCCCTGGATCTACCTCATGGGACACCCCTGACACTGGCCCTTCCCCTGCACTACAGGACACAGGTGATAACACAGGGAACTCCAAATGACAGAACAAGAAATGGGGACTTCATTCTGGGGATGCCAGGAGATGACAATTCAGACACCCATCCCCTAAGTCTAACAAAGGGAAAGCTGCAACAGGGACAGCCTGAGCTGCTGCAGGTGGTGGCTGCCACTGGGATCTCCACTGTAGGATACAAAGACCTGAGCTCAACAGGCAGTGGAGAGTGACAGAGGTCATTACTAAGACAGCTAAAGCAGGAAGCTGCGGCGTGAGACCCAGCATCTGCAGGTGATGAATCCCCCCCAGGCTCCACAGCAAGACAGAGAGCAAAAAAGCAGATGTTCTAATGACCAAGATGGATTGCTTCAGACTGAACTGGACCAATGGTGCCACCTCAAAACTAGCTCTCAGTTGCACCAGAAGCCAGGAGACTGGGAGGCAAGATACAGATTTTCCAACAGAGTATGGGAAAGTTGCAGAGAGGACCATATGAGGGAAGCTCAGCCAAGGAACTTAGGGTAGGGCAATAAAATGACTAAGTTGAAGATTTCAGGGGAACAGTTCTAGAGGGACATGGTGGGACTCAACCATGAGTGTGACTGGAAAGCAGCCACTGTGGCTGATGTCCACAGGCATCTAGTCCTGAGGAAGCCAGGAGGGTGACCAGGGCAGGGAGGCATGGGAGAGACCGGGGCGTCCCACCTAAGGCAGAGGCACTGGTGCTGATGCGTTTACCTTTGCACATGGTTCCGTTGCCCACGTAGCCAGGCTTGCACACACAGTTGTGTCCTCCCACGGTGTTGAAGCACAAGGCATTATCATCGCAGCTGTGCTGATTTGTGGCACACTCATCATGCTCTGCAATGAAGGACACACGGCTGTCACATGGGGAACCCTGCTTTAATCCACATCTGCACTTCCTCCAGCCAGACACACACAGCAGGCAGATTAAACAAGATCCCAGGCTTTGCAGCGTCCTGTCCTTCTGTTGAATATCCAAGGCTTACCCGCCCACACATGTGCAGTGAGAGCATCTGGATCAAAGGTCCATATGTGGCTGAAGCTGCGCTGCATCTTAACTCAGAAGTAATGCCAGAAGGAGTTGCCTATGGCTTATGGCTACTCTGGGGCTTACTCTGATAAAGTGAATCTGTCATCGCTGCTTCCTCACACTTCCTGAGGGGAGATGGCTGCACTGCTCCAGGAGTCTCAGCACATGGCGACCAGGTTGAACCTGGGCTATGAGCTCTGAACTTGTAGCAAAGGCCCTGACACAAACAACTGCAGACTATCTGAACTCTTCTGGAAGTTGCCCCTCTCTGCCTTAAGCAAGGCAAAGCTGCTTCTATGATGAGTGCACATCCAAACCTTAAAGCACACAGCTGATACTCACTGGGGACCTGCCTGTAACCGCCCCTTCTGACGCACAGACACCACATGGTGCTCCCAGCACCAGTCATGGTGGCCCCGTGGGGATACAAGCACCAGGGAGCCTGCATGCCGCCAGGCACAGGTAGAATCACAATGCCAGCCTAATGCCAATGTGAGCAAAGCACAGGAGAAAAACCAAGACGAAGGCAGGGACAGCACCAGGGTGAGCACAGATTCTCTGGAGAGGTACCACTTCTCACTTAGCTTCTGACATAAGCACAAATTGCCTTTACTGACACTGGTCAAGCCATTAATTCCACGACAGAAACCATCACAGCTAAAATAAATGTCCAGTTTCCATTTTAGAAATTCTTGTATTTCAAATGTTAAAATATAATGTACCTGTAATTGTGAATAATTTTGCCTCTGGCACATAACAGTTGGAATTAGAATAAAGTCACTAGCTTCAACCAGTCAAACAGAGAATACTGTTTTACTTTGGCATTACATCATACAGATCATACTATGAGCACAAATTATGACAGTTGCAACTATAGTCTATAATAAAATACTTATAGATTATTCTGAAGACTCTAACACAGGAAATGAGATTTCAATCTCTAACATTTTACAGTTGCACAAAGGGCCATCTTATTTTTCCAATTTCTGGCTGAATTATCCCACCTTCACACAATATGCTACGCTCATCACCAGAATTAGACCACCACATTTTTCTTCACAAGCTAAGGTTTGCTGCTGTATCTTAGACACATGTGAAGCTCATTCAGGTCTCCTGGCTGCAGCTGGGCCTGGCCTGCCCTGGCCGTTCGGAAGGACCAGAGTGGGCAGCCCAACCCCCTCTGCACTCTGCAGCTCAGCAGCACAGCCGGCTGTGTGATGCGGCCCTGCTGCTAGCTCCCTCCCGAGGCCACTACAGGCATTGTGCTGTCCTGACTCGCTGCTGCTGCTTCCATCTCTACTGTCTAACTGGAAGGGAAGGGGGCAGCTCAACACTGCGTTCAATAAGTTGGTCAAGTCTTCACACAGCCTGGCTTCGACTGAATTGATTTGTGTGGTTTCCTCCTCCTTCCTTTCCTTTTTAAATTCGAATTTTAGGTCTTGCAGGGTATTTCCTACATTTTCTTGCAAGAGTTTGAAGGTTTCTGGATGTAGGTTTAGGTCTTTTATCCATGTAGATTGGATCTTAGTGTATGGTGATAGATGTGGGTCTATCTTTTTGTTTCTACAGGCTATCAGCCAGTTGTCCCAACAACATTTACTAAAGAGGCCTTCCCACTTGCTTGGACTGTCATTGGTCTTTTTGTCAAAGATTAATTGGCTGTATCTGTGTGGGTTCCCTTTTGGTGCTTCTATTCTATTCCATTGATCTTCTTTTCTTTGTGCCAGTACCAGGCTGTTTTGATAACCACTGCTCTATAGTATGTCCAGAGGTCCGGGATTGTGATTCCCCCTGCTAACTTCTTATTTTTCAGGATGGTTCTAGCTATTCGTGGTTTTTTGTGTTTCCAGATGAACTTTTGAATCATTGTATCCAGTTTCGTGAAGAATGTTTTGGGCAATTTGATTGGAATTGCGTTGAAAATGTATATTGCTTGTGGTAGTATAGACATTTTAATAATATTGATTTTGCCTATCCAGGAGCACGGGATGTTATTCCATCTTTTGAGGTCTTGTTCAATTTCCTTTTTAAATAGTTTGTAGTTTTCTTCGAATAGGTCTCCTACGCTTTTGGTTAGATTTATTCCCAAATACTTCATACTTCTCTCTGCTATTTTGAATGGTATCCTGTTGGTTAGATCTTCTTCCATCTTGGTGTTATTTGCGTACACTATGGCTGTTGATTTTCGTTCATTAATTTTGTACCCCGCCACTCTGCCAAACTCTCGTATAAGTTCTAGTAGTTTCTGTATTGAGTCTCCTGGTTTTTCTATGTATAGAATTATGTCATCTGCATATAGTGAAAGCTTGACTTCTTCGTTTCCTATACGTATGCCTTTGATTTCTTTTTCTTGTCTTATGGCCTCTGCAAGTACCTCTAGGACTATGTTGAATAGCAGTGGTGATAGCGGGCACCCTTGTCTTGTTCCAGATCTCAGTGGGAAGGGTTCTAGCTTTTCTCCATTCAGTATGATACTGGCGTTGGGTTTTTCATAAATTGCTTTGATTATGTTGTGGATTTTCCCATCTATGCCTACTTTGGCTAGAGTTTTTAGCATGAAGAGGTGTTGGATTTTGTCGAAAGCTTTTTCTGCATCTATTGAAACTATTATGTGGTTCTTGTTTTGCAGTTTTTGGATATGGTTTATAACATTTATGGATTTCCGAATGTTGAACCATCCCTGCATTCCAGGGATGAATCCTACTTGATCCGGATGAATGATCTGTCTGATGATTTTTTGAATTCTATTGGCTAGGATTTTGTTGAGAATTTTAGCATCAATGTTCATCAGAGAAATAGGTCTGTAGTTTTCCTTCTCTGACGGTTCTCTGTCCGGTTTTGGGATTAAGGTGATGTTGGCTTCATAGAATGAGTTTGGAAGGGTTGCTTCCTCCTCTATTGTTTTGAAGAGCTTGTAGAGGATTGGGGTTAGTTCTGTTCGGAATGTTTTGTAGAATTCTGTAGTGAAGCCGTCTGGGCCTGGGCTTTTATAGCTGAATTATATTTTATTGTGTACATTTCATACTTCCTTTATCCATTCATCTCGGGATGGACACTCAGTTGGCTCCACATTCTGGCCACCGTGCACAGCACTGTTGGTGCAGCCGTCTCTGACTCGATGTGTTCATATCCTGCCAGTGTATCACCTGCAGTGTGATTGCTGGACTGTATAACAAGTCTATTTCTAGTTGGTTTTTCCTTTTGAGAAATCTCCACAATGGCTGCACTAATTTATATCCCAGTAACAGAATAAACGGTATATAAGTGTCCCCCATTCTCTCAGTCCTCAGCAGAATTTCTTCCTCTTTGCGGTTGGGATTTTAACCATCTAAGTTGGAGGCACAGTGATAACTCTGAGAGCATACTACAATGCTACGCTAATTAAAACAGCACAGTGCTGGCACAAAAACTGAAACAGATCAATGGAGCAACCCAGAAATTAATACACATATATACAGCCAATTGAGTTTTGACAAAGTACTCAGACCATAGTGGAGTAAGATTAATTTCTTCAATGAATGTTTGAAAAATTGAAAGTACAATGTAGAATAAAATCTGATCCATATCTCTCACCATATACAAAAGTCAACTCAAGATGCATCAAAGACTTAAATTAAGATGAGGATACTTTGAAGCTGCTACAAGAAAATGTACAAGAAACACTCTAAGACACTGAATTACAGATGATGTATGGGTAAGACCCCAAAGCACTGGCAACAGAGATAAAGCTAAAGAAATGAGACACACCACAGAAGCCTTCAAACAGCAAAGGAAACCACAGAGTGAAGAGACATCCAACAGGATGGGAAAGAATATCTGCAAACCACCTATTTGACAAGGGATTAATAATCTGAATATATCAGCAACTTAAAAATTAAACAACAACTGACCCAATCCAGTTGAGAAATGAGTGAAAAACTTCAATAGACAGGTCTCAGCAGAAGAGTTACAAATGGCCAACAAATACATAAGAAAAAGTCAACATCATCAGTCGTCAGAGAAATGCAAATCCAGTCACAATGAGATTCCAGTGTGATTTCTGAGATGAAACAGTGAGTCAGAGTGGTACAAAGGTACAGACAGGGGTCAGGCCAGCAGACGCACCCACTGCACCTGCACCTGCCCTGTGCTCCCACAGGACACCTGGAAAACCCTGACCACCCCGAGACTACACAGGAACTCCAGCTAGAACCATGTTGCACTGCTCAGTTGCTGGTCTTCCATCCTCAGGTGTTCTCAAGCAAGAGTCTTGTGTTGTTCCTTACCTTTTGTATCAGCATTCCAAGGCTGCTTCCTGAATACGGGATCAAACAAGTGTAGCAACAGAGAACTACTTCTGACTTACTGCAGCAACCCCACTTTGTCCAGCTATAGAACAAAAGCCAACAGAGCTACTGCACATCTGAGAAGTTTCTACACTGGTTTTACTATGGGCCGTGTTTTATTTAATTTTGGATACTTCAAGCATGAATTTTGACATGCAGACATATTTTGAAAACAGGAAATACTAGTTCTATTACACTGACTTCCTTTCCTTTTTAAATTTATTTATTTATTTATTTATTGGAAAGTCAGAATTACAGAGAGAAGGAGAGACAGAGAGAAAGATCTTCTGCCTGCTGGTTCACTCTCCAAGCAGCCACAACGGCTTAGTACTAAGCCAATCTGAAGCTAGAAGCCAGGAGTTTCTGCTGTGCCTCCCATGTGAGTGTAGGGTTCCAAGGCTTTGAGCCATCCTTTACTGCTTTCCCAGCCCACAAGCTGGATAGGAAATGGAGCAGCTGGGACATGAGCTGACGCCGCATGG